CTCTTACTGAGCCATGTCTCCAGCTCCCAAACAGCAGGCTTTTGAGACAAGTGCTTTCCCTACTAAAGCATCTGCTGGCCCTAGCTTTGGTCTTTAAAAGCTTTCTTTTTCTTTTTTTCTTTGTATGTTTACACCTGTGGATATATGTGTATTGATGCACAGGTTGAGGTCAGAGGATAGTTTTGGGGAGATGGTGCTCTTGTTTTATATGTAGATTCTGGGGACTGAATTTAAATTATTTGCTTAGCCATCTGAACAGTCCTGGCTTTGAACTTTTGATTCGTCTCAGTCTCTACAGGGCTATGATTACAGGGGTGTACAACCATACTTAGATTTATTGCTGTTATTTTTTATGGGAGTAAGGGTACACATAATGGGAAAGGTAGCCCAGCGTTGGTGGTGCACACCTTTAATCCCAGCACTGTGGAGGCAGAGGTAGGTAGATCTCCGAGTTCGAGACCAGCCTGGTTTACAAAGTGAGTTCCAGGACAGCCAGGGCTGTTACACAGAGAAATCCTGTCTTGAAAAACCAACCAACTAAATCCCCCCAAAAAACAAAAACCATAAAACCAGCCAGGTGGTGGTGGCAGGAGCCTTTAATCTCAGCATTCCACTTGGAAGGCAGAGGCAGCAGAGCTACATGAGACTGAAGGGGAAAGGTAGACACAGACCTTTCTAGAATGTTGTAGTCTAGAATGTTCTCCTATGTGTAATTTTTTGCTTGGGAGGTGGGGGAGGATGTTGGAGATCAAGCAGGATGGACCACTGAACTACAATTATTGCATAGGATCTCGTAGGATCTTTTAAGTAAGGGCATGGGCAGGGTGACGACAGTGCACACAAACAAGCAGACGCAGGCTAGTCTTGAATGCATCAGAATTTCAAGAGTGGATCAATCAGAATGATCCATTTTTAATATACATGGTAGAGGGTGGTGGCTTTGCAAGGTTGCAAGACGGGAATTTTGGGAGAGGTAACTAATAGGATCTGACCGACTGATGGCAGCGGGAGAATCTGGTGCCCTACATTACTCCTTTTCCAACTCATGCTGCTGGATGCTAATGGAAGAATGTCTATGGTAACTCTGGGGAAGTTGTGGCTTTGTTTTCAGAAAGCACCTCAACATGCCAAGCTGGTCTTGAACTTGCTATTTAGCCTCCTCCTGCTGGGATTATGGAGACCATTAAAGGAAGGATCAGGTGTTGAGTTTCTTTTGAAACTTCAGAGTATCAGAGAGTCTTAAAAGTATGGGAGCTGGAGAGAGCGCTCAGCAGTTAAAAAGGTGCTTACTGCTGCTCTCCTAGAGTACTCAAGTTAGGTTCCTAGCACCCAAGTCCAGAAGTTTATGACTGCTTGTCATTTAGCTCCAGTGGGATCCAATGCCTCTGTGGGCACCTGCCCTCACAAGTACATACTCACATGTCGAAACACACATACAGATAATTAAACCTTTACAAAAGTGCAAGGGAAAAAAGGTCTAAGATACAAAAGGAATGTAGGTCAGATGGAGAGGTCTCATTCTGAGAGTTCTTAACATTGCCTAGGGATCAGCTTCTTCTTTTTTTTTTTTTTTTTTTTTTTTTTTGACAGGGTTTCTCTGTGGCTTTGGAGGCTGTTCTGGAAATAGCTCTTGTAGACCATGCTGGCTTCGAACTCACAGAGATCCGCCTCCCTCTCAGATTTTAAATGCATGTGCCACCACTGGCTTGGGATCCGCTCTTTTTAAACAAGCTCTTGTATTTAGGATCATTAAATAAAACCTTCAGTTTCAAGCTTTGTCCACCTTATTTAATCCATAGGCTTTTAAAATGACCTCTATTAGCATTTTGGTTGTTGGTCATTGATACCATTATCCACACCTTTTGAGATATGAACTAAAATCTCCTTGAATTAATTAAATCCTCTAGCAGGAATATGTTTGATAGGGATTTAGGCAGTGGATATCCAGGGCTTTATTAAACAGGTAAGGTTAGATAGTACTTCAGAAATATTTTCTGTGTTGTCCACCTGTCAAAGCACCATTTTATGTGCCTAGCACTTTGAAGAGTATCTAACTTTCTTTGGGCTACTGGCTTGCTATTATAGCATAACGCTCATTTAGGGGGAATCAGTAGCTTTCTAAAAATAACCTTTTTTTTTTTTGTCAAAAGGATAATGCTATTTTCATTACCGTTGCTCTGGATAAAACTAGTATCCATAGCCGGGCGTTGGTTGTGTACGCCTTTAATCCCAGCACTCGGGAGGCAGAGGCAGGCGGATCTCTGAGTTCGAGGCCAGCCTGGTCTCCAGAGCCAGGGCCAGGATAGGCTCCAAAGATACAGAGAAACCCTGTCTCGAAAAAGCAAAAATAAATAAATAAAATAAAAAATTAGCATCCATATCGTCTGGGATACAAGCGCCTTTGTCTTCTCTTTCTTGTACCTAGTAAACGGTTACAAAGGAAATGTCACTTCACATAACATGTAGTTACCAAGATGTTTGAAAAGAGACACGGACATTTTCCTCACAGTTGTCCTAAATCACGAAGCTTTGTGCTGCTTCAAGTTGTTCAAAGTGTGCCAGGAGGAGCACTCAACTGCTTCGAAGGCCAGGGACAGGAACGGAATATTGCACAACCCAACACCACCGGGCCGGTTAAGCTTCCAAATCTGGCCTCCGTGTCATCCCCGGGCGGGAGGCACTGGGATTTCCTCTCCCCCCCGCCGCGCGGTGCCCCTCCCTCCGCCCAGGGGACTCGTGGGAGCGGGAGGACGGCGCGCGCCGGGCCGCGGGATGCCCCATTGTCCAGCGGCGGAAGCCGGGGCTCCCCGGGGTGA